ATAAAACCATTGTGTGATAAGCATTCACACTGCATTTTGGCAGTACATGCAAATTGTCTTATCAATAATGTAACCCCCTGTCAGGGATGTGCTTGTAGAGGTAATCGCCTCTAGACTACTGAGATGTCACTGGTGGTTCATGGCTTCAGACCCTCAGCAGGTGTAGGATGGACTACACCACCGTTATGCTGATAAATCTATAAATACCTTGTGTTGTCCATATAAAATGTGGTTATGCTTTCAGTTGTTTTATATTGCTTAAAGGTTTCCTCACAATTTAGTGTGATAATTTTTCTGTATAACCAGGAAATGCTCCTGGGTGCCTCGAATTTCCCCCCTGGGATTAATTAAGTATTGTCCGCCCGTCTAGCTAGCTAGTTACCTGCCTACCTTCCTACCTGTCTGTCTGTCTAGTGTGGGGACATTCTCCATTTTTTCCACAACTGTGGTAAAGTATTCAGTAGGTGGCAGTGACTCGATCAAGAAGAGCACCTTTGTTCTCTTATTTTTTGAGTTTTTAATCAACTTTGAATAAACAGTTTTTAATGAACTTTGCGTTTGATGTTGGATCAATCAGGGTAAAGTTGAAGAACTTCTCACCATAGATGGCTGGAGCCATGCAGAGACATTCATAGTGCGTGATGTTTTCCATTATGAAGTCGGAGTTGATGGGGTAGTGGTGAGCTAGCTTAATCATCTTCTTAAAGGCGTCGTAGATGAAGATGAAGCTGATGAGGCAGGAGAAGCCTTCCTCGGTGAAGCGAGTGAAATATTTCACCAGAAAACTGGCGTCGGTGGCGACGAGCACCAGGCAGAGGAACGCCGACCACAGGCCGATCCAAAGGCGGAACTCCATGTAGTCGAAGTCGTTTTCTCTGGAAGCAAAGAGATCGGATAAAAACTGAAGTGATTAAACAAACAAAACTCTGAAATTAAGAACAAAATGTAAGAAAACATGGCTCTGAAATGAGAGCTGTTCAGTGGGCTTGCTGTCAGAAAGTACCTGCTGAAGTTGAACAGCAACCGTTCAAAGACCAGGACTGGACCGGTGCTGCTCAGGATGATGAGGGGCTGACCAGCCAGCAAACAGAAAACACCTCCGGCGATGGCGGTCCCTAAAAAACTCTCCAACACACCCTGCACACACCGAGGGCTCAGATTCTGAAAAGATTCATCAAATGACGGGTCAACATAATGATTCCAAAGTTTTAAAACCGGGTCGGACCTGCATGTTTTCCGTGGCGTCCCCCAGCAGACCTCCGAAGGTGATGGCGTTGGTCACAGTTCCCAGGTAAATAAAAAGAATGGCCGACAGAGCCTGAATGTGAAATGCATCAGTGATGTCACTGAGAAAGAAAGGCGCTTTTCTCTTCAGGTCCAGTAGGAGACCACCACAGAACCTGACGGGACACAAAGAAAAGACACATTGGACCAGGATGGAGAACCAGGTTAGAACCTGAGCCTTCAGCTATCAGGCAAGTATAAGACATGGATTAATACCAGGCCCCCACAGAGAGAGGACGACCTACACATATCTGCATGTACACAACAGAAAACATGATCCTGCAGACAAACTAGATCCTGTTGACCAACCAGATCATTCAGATAGCTACCAGATCCTACAGATACCAGATCCTGTAGACCAATCAGATCATGTAGATCAACCAGATCCAGTCGATCAACCAGATCATACAGATACCAGGTCCTTTATGGTAAATGGTAAATGGACTAAACTTCTATAGTGCCTTTCGATCTTATTTCAAGATACTCGAAGCGCTTTACACAACAATCAGTGTCGTCCTCAATTACCCATTCATACAGCTCTATACTAGATCTCTACAAAGCTAATTGAACAAATCATTCTAAAGAGACTAATCAGTGCTTTAGCTCACATTCATGCACTGATGAGACACACATCAGAGGCTATGAGGGGTTCAGTGTGTTGCCCAGGAACACTTCGACATGTGACTGCTGGTGGATTCAAACCCCCAACTCTTGCATTGGAGGACGACTGCTCTAACCACTCAGCCACAGCCGCCCCATATAGAAAAACCATATCCTACAGATAACAGATCATACAGACAGATCTTACAGATACCAGATCCTGCAGACCAATCGGATCATGTAGATAAACCAGATCCAGTAGATCAACCAGATACCAGGTCCTGCAGAAAAACCATATCCTACAGATAACAGATCATACAGATAATGGATTATATAGACCAACCAGATTCTACAGATACCAGATCATGTAGACCAACCAGATCCTACAGATACCAGATCATGTAGACCAACCAGATCCTGCAGACCAACCAGATCATACAGATGTCAGATCCTACAATTACGAGATCCTGTAGATCAATCAGATCCTACAGATAGCAGATCCTGCAAACTAACCAGATCCTACAGATACTATATCATGTAGACCAACCAGATCCTACAGCCCAACCAAATCCTACAGATATCAGATCCTGTAGACCAACAAGATCCTTCAGATACCAGATACTGTAGACCAACCAGCTCCTTCATATACCAGATCCTGTAGACCAACCAGATCCTGCAGACCAAACAGATCATACAGATAGCAGATACTGTAGACCAACCAAATCCTACAGATACAGATCATGTAGACCAACCAGATCCTGCAGACCAACCAGATCCTACAGATGTCAGATCCTACAATTACAATATCCTGTAGATCAATCAGATCCTACAGAAAGCAGATCCTGCAAACTAACCCGATCCTACAGATACTATATCATGCAGACCAACCAGATCCTACAGCCCAACCAAATCGTACAGATATCAGATCCTGTAGACCAACCAGATCCTGCAGACCAAACAGATCATGCAGATAGCAGATACTGTAGACCAACCAAATCCTACAGATACAGATCATATAGACCAACCAGGTTCTGCAGACCAACCAGATCCTACAACTACTAGATCATTCAGACCAACTAGATCCTACAGATACCAGATCTTACAGATACTAGATCCTGCAGATCAACCTGATCCTACAGATACCAAATCTGATAGCTGCAGGTTCTGGGACTTTTAGATTCAATTAGAATAAAAATAAGAATAAATTAAAATTAGTTGTTGCATGTTCTCTCCGTGCATGTGTGGGTTCTCTCCGTGTACTCCGGTTTCCTCCCACAGATTAAAAACATGCATGTTAGACTGATTGATAACTCTAAATTGTCCCTAGGTAAGAGAGAGAGAGTGAAAGATTGTTTGTCTCATTTGTGCCTGTGATGGACTGGAGGCCTGTCCAGGGTGTCCCCCACCTCTCACACAATGACTGCTGGACATGGGTACCAGTGACCCCCGTGACCCGGAAAGGAAGGAGCGAGTAAAAGATAATGAATAGATGAATCTAAAATTTTGTTGTTGCATCTGCTGTAATTGTCTCTGATGGTTTTTATTTGACTCTTTTTCTTCACAAATATGGTATCTCTAAGATCATGTTTTATATTTTATGCTTAAAATAAATATTATGCAACAAAATGACTGTGTGGTGGAGTGGGGGGTCTTGAAGTCCCACCTCGTTAGTGCGCTAATGCAAATTTGACAAATGCAACTTTCATCAAACTGCCGGCTGCAGCTCCAAACAACAAGAGAAGACGGGACAGCTGGTCTGTTACTACAAGACGTCTGTGGTAAAAACCTGAATCTGCAGAAACCCAGTCCGACCTCGAACAGCAAATCTCCCACCTTCCTGCGCGTGAAGTATGTGAGGTTTGTTCTGAAAGCCAATCTGTTTTCAGCAGCCGTCTCTGAGTTCATGCTGACCAGGTGGAAACGCCACTCCACCGCCCAGCAGCAACAGAAAGATGAAGTCGCAGAGTGCTTTATACCTTCCAGTCTTCTTCAGCTCATCCCCGGTTGCATGCCCCCCTCCTCCGTGACCCCCAGCATGAGGCGTGTCTCCGTTCATCTGAGAATCTCCTCCTGCAAACATGTTTTTCCTGCAACAGAGAAGTTCGTCGTAACTTTACCATGGAAGCGTTTTTACGTTGTTGACGTGTTAAATCTCCTCATCCCTCAGGTTAAAGCTTCTTATATTCCTGTTTGTCTGCAGCTGCTCTTTCAGATTTAAACACTTTAATACATCTGGATGCAGATGTTAAATCACAATATAACACTTAATCAACTCCTACATGTGTGATGAGGACTGACCGTTTTTCAGTTTCTTGTTTTTTGTAGAACTGATCAGTTTCTGTCTCTAAACGGAAGACTCTCAGACGTTAGTTGACGTGTTGATAATATCAAAAAACTCACTTTTGTTCTAATAAAAGGTCAGTTTGTTGTTGATAAAGGTTTGATTAAAAGATAAACTGATGTTTCTGCATGATTTTGGACCTTTTATCAGAGGAAGGGAGCGATTTGGGCGGCTCTATCCTGATGGTTGGGTCCCACTCTCCAGGTGGAAGAACGATCACCTCGTCCAGGAACTCGTCGATACCAGCCAGCAGGTCCTGTCTGTCCTTTGCCTTGTAGGCAATGTCATGAAAAATCTGCACACAGACAGAGAGGGACAACGGAGCGGAAAAGTCAGAGAAGGCCGTGAAAGCTGGTGGTTTCTCTGGGCAGTGAACTGGAAGATCAGATCTGAGGATTACTGGAAGAGGAAAAATGACATCACGCAAACACCAGACATAATCTCATCTAATCAACCCAAAAACTCTGGAGAGGACTTGAATTTTAATCAACTCATCCACTGACCTCTGGATTTCTGACTTCCAGAGACAACAAACTGTTTCTCTCTGACAGAAATCTTTCTTTCTGAAGTCAAAATATCAACATTTTTCATCATTCTGTGGAGAAGCTAATGTCCAAGTTAGTCACCAAGTTAGGGTGATTTCATCTGATCTTAATCTCTGTAGAGCAGAGGACAATAAACCAATTATAAATGTCTGTAGTTTATTAAAACTAATTCTGCATCAATTCTTTTTCTGCACTCGCTCTCGTGCAAGGTTGATGCCTCCTCTCCCTCTCCTGTTCTCCTCCTGCTTTTTTTTTGCTCTCTGTCTGTGTATCGGAGCTCCTGTTACACATCTTCCAAAACTAAAACTAGTGTCATGGATCTGGTCAGCTGGACTTTCAACGCAATCGATAAAATCTTTTCAACAAAGCGACCGCGTCCTGGAGAGCCCTCATGCCTCGCTGAGACTCACACGGCAGGTTACGTCATGGATCCGTGGGGAGTTTGACAGCTGATGTGTCTTTCCGTTTTGTCTTAGAAGGACGCCGAAGATGTTTATATAATTGGATTCATGATAGCAGGGTTTCTGATTTCTGGCATTGGCAGATTCCTGCGTTATCGGCTATTAAGGAAGACGACAGCAGCAGTTTAGACAATGGCAAAACTGAAGAGTCTGTGTGAAGGTCTGGTTCATGCTTCGAGTACTCAAAATCAGTTATTTACAAGCTAAACCATAAGAAGGAAGGGATTTGTGAGAATTGCAGACCACCTGCGGCTTCTGGGACTCGCCAGCATGTTGGAGACGACCTTGGAGGTAGCTCATAAGCACGGACCAGTGGAATGTCCACAAAGCAGGCCACAATTGTGGCTTATTTGAATCTGACTCCCCCAGTTGGCCTCAAAAACAGGCCGGCTTATCAAATTTCTCCTGGGATATGTGTAAAGCTTCATCTATCACATCCCCCCCACCCTCGCCCCCGAGAACTTCTGTGAAGGCTTATCACAGCTGTGCCAGCTGACCAACATCCTATCATGACTATGGTCAATCTGGAAGTGCTTCAGGGACAAATCTCACCGTGTTGCCATCAAATGCATATGTAATGTGTCTATAAATGTGCTGCTGGCAGAGTTTTAATGTCATGTCCTGATAGGACATGATGTGAAGAGATCTTTCTTTGTAATGCCACTATCATATCCTCATGGATTTTCCCCCTTTTCTATCTAAAAAAGTATTCTGAAAAAGGATAAGGGGCCGCGCTCCAGTAGCAGCAGCAACGTGCACTCCACCCATCTTTCAGACGACCCTACGAACATAATTTCACTGTATTTCGGTGCAATGATAATAAAGCTTATTCTGATTCTGATTAAAACCAAAACAGCTGAGACCTTTGAGCTGCTAAAAGCAAAAACTGACAAAAACCCTTGAACTATTTTAACAATGTTTTCTTAAACATCAGTTTCTTAAACAGTTACGTTTGATTTTGAGCTAATATTTGGTTTAAATTAGGTTTTCATCTTGTGGAAAGGCAGTTGCAGGTCTGTGTTTGAAAAGGTGTTTAGTAGTCAGTTGAGAAATGTTATCTTGATGAAGGTGCAGAGGCTTGGACTCAGTCTTGTGACAGGAGCCTGACCTCGTCTGACATCAGCGTAGCGATCGCTCTGCCGATCTCGTGGTAAGATTTGGCCTGTCCTTTGGGTCCAAGCAGGATGAATAAAAACCTGAAGAAGAAAAGAAAGTAGAGTGTAAATCAGTGCACCAAAAACATTGAGGTTTCCTTCATTCCCGTTCAACTCCAGTTCAGAAAAACACTCATCTCCAAAACTACAAACATTCACTTCCTGACTTCCTGCTGTGTATCTACTGGGTTTAGGGACAGCCACCTGGTGGGAACTGGGACTTCTGTGAGCGCTCCCAACATGACGGCCTGCTGCAGACGAACAAACGCCACAAACGGAGAATCCAGGAAGTCCACCTCCCCCACCAGCACGTTGGAGGCCTCCGCGTCTCTCGGCAGCTTCTTCATGAACTTGTTTTTCAGCTGAAAGTGCAAAAGACAAAAAGGAGGTCAGAAATGTTACTATCCTGCAGCACGCTGTCTGGACAGGTGCAGCTTTTATTAAACAGAACCGTCCTTTAGAGACGAGCCAGAACCTGAAAGCTCGAAAGATGGAGGACCAGGACCTGCTGAGCTCCAAAGGTTCAGCATTTACCCGTTTCACCTGGAGGATTTCCTCTTTTATTTCCTCGTACGTAATGCATCAACAACAAAAACTGACCCAAGTGAGTTTATAAAGGAAGAAACTGCATTAAGTTACCTTTTTGATGCGGAACTGGAAAAGATTGAGCTGAAAAAGTCGTGAAGAAATGATTTATTTCTTTGAAATATTCCTGGAGCCATCGATCAGACTAAACACGGAGGGCCAGACCTAATTTTCCTTCATAGTAGCTCGTCTTCATTCACAAATCTTGTTTTGTTTTAAAATCAAACACGTTTTAAATTAAATACGGCAAACAGACGACATGTTTTGTTGAATTCTTCATATTTCTTCATCTGATCTCTGAGCTGAACACCTGAACACCAAACTGCAGGTTCTTTAATGTCCTTAACTTCCTTTAATTTCCATCCATTCATACTGTTCAACTTGAAGAAGGACTACTGTATTATATGTTTTTATAAGATTAGTTATGAACCATAATTAAATTAAATGTAAACCAGCTTTTCTATGACCAGTCTGAGGTTATTAGATAAAACTCCTCCTGGATAAGAATCTTATGAAAACCTACTGTGTTACTTTATAACCATGAGTCAGGAAACATTTACTAAGACAAAACCATGAACTAACTGCTGGACCTTTGTCCCCTGGATGTCCTCACATGTGGCTCAGTCTGCTGAAGTCCTTAAAGCTCGTTTCTGTGTGTGAAGACAAAGTTCCTGTCCTTTAACTTAAACATGGGAATTAAACTTCTAAACACTTCAACATGTCTGCTCTGGGTTCTGTAGTGTTCTTGGTTGGAAGGACGTAGAGGAATTAAGGAGCTAAATGAGTGGACAATGCACTTCCTGTCAGATGATCCCACGGTTCTTTAGAAGTGGTAACTGGATTGAACTGATTGTTTGTTAAAGGCTCTGTCTGAACTGATCAGATCTGTATTTCTGTCTATAACTCTATAAACCAGGGTTCAAATTACCAATGACCAAAAAGATTTGAAAACGGAAAAATAGTAAGGGACTAAAATAACGAGGAGCAGCAGGTGCCACAAGAAGAGTAAATCTGCAGGAAGACAGCAGAAGGTGAGTATATGCTCTGTAGGATAATCCTGGCAGTAAAAGTTCTTATTGTGTTCGGAAAGCTCTTCCAGATGTTTTCTTTTTTTCAGGCTTAGGTAGGGAGGAGCTAGGGTTCCTCAGTCTCAGGTGATTGGGGTTGTTGCAGGCAGTCACAGCTGGTATCAGTGGACTAAGGGGGCTTAGCCCCCCCCCCCCCCCTTTTCTGGCATTTACAATAAATGTTAAAATAAACAACTTAAAAATACATTTTAGAAATAATGTCACATTTTGTTCAATTTACAACAAAACTGGTGTCAAACCGCCTGGAGAAAATCCCAGGGTCGTTCCAAAGGGCTAAATTCTGACAGCCCCGTTCTGTTACTGTTCCTTCGTGGTTCAGAATGATTGACAGACGTCTGGTCACGCCCCCTCGGTTTGCAGCTCATTGGGGCTAATTGTGGTCAGCGAGGGTCAGCCCGCAGCCACAGGATTCATCCAGTGAGGATGTATGTACAATAACGTGCCTCCAGCGTGAGTGCATGTGGGCGTGGTTTGGCGTAGACTGTATGATGGCGCCTGTGTTTGAACTCGCTACCATCGGTTGTTTCACTGCTGCTGCAAGCTGCCTTAAATCTGTTTTCTCCTGTTTTCATTTTGTATTGGGAATGTTCAACCTATGCTGGTCTATAATCGGCAAACGCTGCTGTCCATCCGGGGGTCCATGCAGAGGAGCTGCGCCCCACCCTCAGGTGCCGGCTCACCAGCGAGCAGCTTCACTTCTAGTGTTTTTCGTGAGCCTGCGCTGGGTTCACACGGATCTCGGAGGAAGAGCGAGGCAGCCGGTGTCCAGGTGAAGCTCAGGCCTGGATTACCTGGACCTCTGCGCTACTGCTGCCTCCGGTCTGTTTATCCAGAAGCTCCGGACTCATCACCGTTTCTTCCTTCAGTTGATGGACTACATGATGTTCGTGGAGTTAACCCTCAGCTTCCCCTTCGTCTGAAACGGGCTGCTGCAGTAAGTACCCTGTCCTCTGCCCCGCTGCGTGTGGTATTAATGTTCATTCAATAATAATCTTTCTTGCTGAATGACTTTATAAAGGCCCTATATATATATGTATATAATATGTGTAAACTGTCTATTTTGAAGTTATAGTCCCCCTGGTGGAAACCCCACGAGCCGCCACTGGTTGCAGGTTAAACCAGTGGAGAGCAGGCAGGCAGCAGTCATTGTTCTGATCTTGGGTTGTTGTCTTGCAGGTATGGTTGGAGATGAAGACAATGGAGCCGGGTCAAGTGTGAACAGGAACCACCAAAAGAGCTCACAGTGAATGCAGTGTTGCATTCAACGGTCCAACAAAGACTCATGGTTCAACTCAGCCTTAAGTAGAGAGTGAAGTACGAGCTGGAAACTGCTGCGGGGGAGACGGGTGTCTGGGCTTCTCTCCTGGACTTGTTGCCTCTGCAACCCGACTATGGATAAGCGGTAGAAAATGGATGGATGGATGAATTAGGATTGTTGCAGTGGAACATGGAAAGCCTGATAATTTACTGCTGTTGCTAGGCAACATCAAATCAGCTGTCCTCAGCGGTGACTGATTGGGGACTGGCACCACCCACTCAAGTGTGCTGCAGAAGATGCTGGACTGAACTGAAGCTCAGCGGAACCACTGCAGCTGCTGCAGTTAGTGTTCTTCTTAGAGCCAGTGGGCATCTTCACAGAAGTTAAGTAAGGTCAAAGTTCATGTCACAAATGTTGGGAATTCACAAACACGGAGAATAAAAGAAAAAATCTCCGTGTGCATGACGCCTTTTGTTTTGGGATCGAATGGTTCAACTGCATCCTGATCATCTTTGCACCAAATTTATTGCACCCCATTGCAGAGCAAAGAAGGGAAATTGTTAACACCCCCCACCCCCACCCCCATCCGTCATTTTGTCCATCCGTACACATTGTGAGCATGAAAACTTGTAAATAAGTGAGGTAGAAACTTCCATTTTGTGACGTAAGAAAGCTCACAATGAAAAACGCCGTTGTTAAATCAAAATCCAAAATGGCAGCCACTTTACGTACTCTGTAAACCAGCCACCCGTATCATCTGAGGAAATTATCATTTCTAGATTTTAGATTGCTTGAATGTATAATTTCCTCAAATGACTGGGGTGACAGGCAGCACGGTGGAGCAGTGGGTAGAGCTGCTGCCTCTCAGCGAGCATGTCACCTCAATTCAAATCCTGGCCGGGGTCTTTCTGGGTGGAGTTTGCATGTTCTCTCCGTGCATGCGTGGGTTTTCTCCCACAGACCAAAAACATGCATGTTCGGCTGATGGGTAACTCTAAATTGTCTCTAGGTGAAAGAGAGACTGAATGCTTGTTTGTCTCTGTGTCCCTGTGATGGACTGGGGACCGGTCCATGTCCAGCCTCTCACACAGTGATGGTTGGACATGGGCACCAGTGATCCCCCGCAACCCAGAATGGAAGAAGCAAGTAAAGATAATGGATGGATGGAATGGGGTGGCCAATGGTGGCCCCCTGGCTCCAGCAGGTGGAAAACGACTCCCTCCACCTGCCAGGATTTATAATGCACCAAAAACATGAGTTCACTTACATTCCTTGTTCAATTCTAATCCAGAATAATAATCTCAAAACCTAACAATGTTCACTATTTAAATCCCTCACCCACGGGGGGCATCAGCATGATGCTTGTTAACCAATACAACATCTTTGTCCATAAACAAACACAGAACTGTGTTAGCTGCAGATGTATCTTTACAGCCTGATCTATTAAAAACTAACTTAAAAAGGTTTGTGTACAAAAACAAGATGGATGGAGCTAACACGGTCAAAAGCCATTTCCATCAGGTTGGTAGATTGAAGGTTCAGACTCCCCACCTCAGCTTTGGACATTTTGTTGGAGAAGAACCCTCTGGATGTTGTTTTTGTCCTAAGATGCATCAAACTTGTTCTCCGGTCATCATTTGTTGGATCATGATGACTTTGGTATTTTGAAGTGTCGTCTGCGAGAATAGTGATTTTTTTATTTATTTATCTTCATATTCAATCTGTGGGCAGAGCCAGGTCCAGATTTATGTTTAAATAATAGGTAGTTTCCTAAAACATTGTTCATTCTGAGTCCACATCAGTTTCCCTCAGTCTGTGGGGATTAATCTTCAACAGTCAGATTAACTTCAGTATATTACAAGAGAAATAATATTTAAACCAGAAACGTCTAATTCCAATCAAAAACACGTTGTGTTCCAGGAAAACTAAGCGTTCGACGAGGGGAAACTCGGCGCCGAAGGATCAGGTCTGGTTAAAGGATAATTGCTGCGACTCACCTGATCTTTCTCTGGTTTGTCAGAGATGTCGTTCAGACTGCTGGAGGTCAGGTTCCGGTGCGCCGTGGTCGGACTATCTGTCGGCGCACACAAACGGAGGAATGAGCTTCACCTTTATCAGGACACAAGAACCAGGAGGAAAACAGAAGAGATGGACAGGACCCAGGAAAGAGCAGAAGCCCAGAAGGTTTGCTCCACATGCAGCAGCGGAAACACTCACAGCTGTCCCAGAAAACCTTTAATTAACAACGTTCTCCCTCCAACATGGACGGGCCTTCTCCTGCACGTCTTTAATAAAACATCTCTAAACTGTAAACTGCTCCATTAGTCCCATTTAACACAAACTCTCCACCAGAGGCTTGAAGATGATAAAAGTTCTAACAACCTTCATACGCTCAAACTGACATTGTCAGATTTTCTACGTGATATTTAAACAGAAGCAGATCGAAATAAATCCAACAAAGTCAACCGTCACACAAGTTTCTTCTGGATTATTTCACTTGTGTAACGTGCAGCGTGTTTTTGATCATCTTGGTCTCCTGTCCTTCACATCCTGTCTCTATCTGAAGCAGGTAAGATGCTGACGATTATGGGTAAAACCATGTATGTCAGTATGGTGCAGCCATCCACAATAATAATAATAATAATAATAATAATAATAATAATGATCTGTGATGGACTTGCGACCTGTCCAGGGTGTACCCCGCCCCTCGCACAGTGATTGCCGGACATGGTGACCCCCGTGACCCAAAATGGAAGAAGCGAGTAAAGATAATGGATGGATAATGATAAAGATGATGATGATGTCAAGTAAACCTGAATCACAGACATTATTAAAGGGATAGTTCCTTTCATTTTTGATGTGCGGTTGAGTGGATCAGTTCTGACCAGTCAGTATCTTACCTGCAGCAGTCAGAGTGATGTCAGTTTGGAAAATCAGAGAGAAAATATTGCTGATAGAGGAGGGTCATTTAAAATAAGTTAAAACTTTCACAGCGTTATGAACAAATCCTGAAGGAACTTTTAAACGTACATTGTTTATATATTTGTTTTTAATTCAAACAGTGTTTGTGTTGCTGTGAGGAAGTAATGCTGAGTTCCACTGACCTGAGCTTCAAGATACAGCCAATAAAAAAAGAGTCATGACTAAAACAGTTTTCATCCTCCTGTGTGAAGGAGCGCATTCAGAGGAAGACCGGAGGTCGGAGAGTTCTCAGCCAATCAGCAGTGAGCTGTGGTTTTCAACAGAAAAATGAATGTTGTGCAAAAATGACACTTATGTCTCAAAACTGAACTTGATTATCTGTTAGCTGGACTCCTCCACAAGAATTTCTCTCTCATTCCTAAACGCAGATCACTGACTGTTATCCCCTGCAGGTAAGATACTAGCATTTTAAAGCTGCTCCACCTCAGTCAGCCTCATCAGAAAATGACTGATGAGTAGTTGGCAGTGTGAACGTAAACGTGTGCCTTTGGACTTACTGAGCCAGTCCATGCTGGTACTCCTTTGGTTCTGCAAGTCCTCCATGGAGACGTGACCTGACAGGCAGGTCACAGAGTTCTCCTGAGGACTGCGAGCTTTTAGCAGCAGGAGCAGGTTATCAAAGCCCATCCAGGCAAGCAGGAAGAGGGAAAAACAGATTTGAAGGTGAAGTGACGGACGAGCCGACCGAGACAAAAGTGAAGATTTGTTAAAAGAACATCAAGTTGAAAGAATCAAACTCCCGAGTGTTAGAAAGTGTGTTGAGAAACAGTGAGTTCAGAGGAGTGATGAAGATGAACGTTCTGGTTCAAAGATGCCCTTTATCCTTCAAGGCTTGGAACCAATGAATGATTCTCCTTATCTTTACTATGACTCTGATAACAGATGTTTCCTTCATCATAAATACCTGTGGCTGGTCACACATTAATCAGAGTTTCAACACACGGAGCCACAAATCGAGAGGAAAACATCCGTTCGCTGTGAGTTTGAAGAAATGACCGTCTGTCTTTAAACGCTCAGAGGTCTGTTTCAGTCAGATCCAGTTCAGTCTCACGGATCTTTTTCCTTTTGTATGTTTTAGAGAAATGGTTCTCAAACTGGGGTCCCCGGACCCCCGGGGGTCTGTGAGCCGGTGCTTGGGGGTCTGCAAATTTTTTTTATAAGCACGTAGGTGTTTAACAACTTGTTAAAATACACCAAAATGCAGGAAATCACATCTGTTTTATTCAAAAATTTCAGGGGGAGGACCCCCAAGCCCCTGCCCACCCGTTCCGGCATTGATCAGTTTACAAATGAAGCCCTGTTTCTTGGTTTGATACTTCTGTGATGATTCTGCTCAGTTTTCTGTAATAATTTGAACAAGTGGCAATGCATTTGTGTTCAATATGTGAATAAGTAAAGTTTTAAAGTGGTTTTTGATACTGTTAATGTCCTCAAAACTGTAATTTTGGGAAGTTCAAATAAAATTTTTTGTTAATTAAGTGTGTCTTGAATTGAAAATACCCAGTGGTGTAGTCTACATGTTTGTACTGGGTATATTGTGCTTAGAAACCAAAGTACACTGGGCAGTACAATATAATCGTCAATTTATTTTGATTTTTAAGCATATTGATCATTTCCAAATTTCTCTGATGCTTATATTTGAATAGATGAACAACAAACTTTGTGCAACAGTTGGCTTTGTATTAAAAACATCTTATTGGATTTATAAAACAGTATCAAAGCAAAGCGCTGCATATGGATAAGTTGTTACGGAAGTGTTTAATTGCTGTTTAACGTATCAATGGCACGTGTCTAATGATGTGTCATGTATCATTGGGCACTTTTAAGTGGGTATACTTAAATTCTTAATCTTTTCTAGTGGGTATACTCCGTATATCTGAGTATCACGTAGATTACACCACTGAAAATAACCCATGTTTAAATGTATAAAAATTGTATTGACACTATTAAAGAACAGGTCTTAAATATTTATATTACGCAAATATTTCTATTGCATTAAAGAGACAAACTGAATAAAATTATTTAATGAACATGAGGGGTATGAGGGGGTCCCTGAACCCCAAAAGTTTGAGAACTCCTGTTTTAGAGAAATGATCAGCTCTAAGTTTAAATTCAGACTTCTGATGCGTTTGAATTTTTATTTGTTGCTCCGGTTCAGGTCCTCTGTAACGTTGGTACAACCATCAGGGTTAAAGTGCTGTTAAAGTGTGGAAATCAAGTTGGATAAATTAGTCAAATTAAATCCATTACATAATGAATTTTAAAGTGTTATTTCTGAACAGAAGAATGTGGAAAAAATGAACACCCAAGGGGTTTTCCTGCATCTCTGTTGGATCTTGTGGAAGACGGGGGCAGTTTGTGTCTGCCCTCAGAGCTCACTGTTCACCTCAACACCGCAGTCAATTTGGAGGTCCACCCTTATTTTGATTTTGTTAGATAAAAAGTCCAAAGACTGCACCAAACTGGCCCAGATGTTACCGTTCTCCTGGTTGGAAAACAGCCTACTTGCACTGGAGACCGTTTTGCCGATGTCAGCCAGGGAGCGAAGGTTGGACTTCTTGGTCTGGTGGCGATGTTTCCGTAGCAACGTGAACATCACCTTGTCCTTCAGGTCTGCTTTCAGCTGGCCGATCTCAATCTGGTTGTCAGTGATCATCTCTGAAGGTGCACAGAGGAGACATGAGTACATGAAGTTAGACCTGGTGTACCACTTTCCACTCAGAGGAAAAGTTACGTAAATGTTTAAAAGCTTGCACATTTTGACTAAATTTATTGCACGAGTTGTAGGAAACTTTTAATTTCATTGCCCTGGAGTTCAAAGCAAACAAGTAAATTGCAGCTAAACGCTCCTTCATCCTCGTCAGAACGCAATTAGTGCATCCAAGATTCTAATGTGTCTCCGTGGAGCAGCTCGGTCTCACGAGGGTCAGAAGCCTGAATGCTGACAGAACGCAGCCTCGGGGAAATTCTCCTCCTGCAGAGAGGAGTTGAGTTAAAGCCCGAACCAGGTCCTCCCTCAGCCTGCGTGGTCCAGGCTGCACAGTCAATTACTTCACATTAATCAAACCGAGTCAGAACTCTTCCTCCTGCTCTTTCATGCAGATAAACCAGGGGAGGGGGGGGGCCAAAGAGACACAACTGGAGACGACTGACTGTCCTTAATTCTGAAAGTCTTTGTGGCCATTTACAAATGATTTTAGAAGTCCAGTGACCGGATGTAAAGTTGAGTTTCAGTCTTTAACGGACGGCTCTGAAAAAGAGCAAAGAACGCTGTGATGTTTCTGAGCTCGAATGTGCCCATCAGTTCACAGAGTCAGTTGTCTATGTTCCTAGAAGACATTAAAGGTTTTCTAAACTAAAATGGGTGTGTGGACAGTGGACACCATACGCTTCCATTTGAAAAAGGCCTTTGATTACTGTCAACCACAAAATACTCCTATTCCACTGATTCTGCCGTCATTTCTCTGATAAAGCCATTGAGTCAGATGTGGCTGATCAGGAATGGTGGTCAGTGGTGTCACGTCTATCTTTAGTTCATAAATGGGGTCCCCCAAGGTTTTGTATTGGGACCTATTTTATTCTCATTATACCAAGTTTCTTCCTGAGGCTTTAAAGGTTGTACAAGTATACAATAATAAGGCTCCTATTCATGTTTTATACTGATACTTATATATTTCTACTAAGGTTTTAATCGTATATGAATTAGGATACAGTAAGAAGACTCTCACTGATGTTTTGTATGACCTACTTGGTAACATCTACTTCCATCCTGGGCTTCACCTGCTCTATAATGAGTCATTTGTGTATTTTGTTTGTGTTTTGTTGTATGATGCTCTGTTTGTGTACTTTTGTATAAAAACTCTTCTCACTTGTATAGAGCCATGTATTCCCCAACATCAACCTGCTGAAAGACAGACTGATGGGAACTAGATTTAGGCATGTAAATTAATCATTTGTATTTGTTCATTTATATCCACTGTCACTGTTTTTAATACATAAATCTGAAATCTACATTGTTGTTCAGAAATCAGATGGAATCAAGCGTTCAGACAGTCAGGGACAAGCTGACATTTATCGGGATTTACACACCAATACCAAGTCAATTATTCTTTCAATAAAAATATATTTAAACTTTAGCCAAATTTCTGCTGAACTTTGACCATTTCAAACAAATATTCTCATTGGTTTAGATGTAAACTTAAAGTTACTTTTATATTTCTCACTCTAAATGTCACCTCTGTATTACTTATTAATCTACACATGTTCAAAATTAAAGAGGCTAAGGAGGGTCTGTTCTGACTGGTTGACTTTAGTGGCCTAATTAAGCCCTGCCCATCAGAGAAGGCAGTTTCCATAGCAACTGATGCAGACAAACAGCTGCTTTATGACATCATTTAAAGAGAAGCGAACAGCTGGTCCCCTGGGGGGGCATTGCCACCTCAGTTCACCTCCCCATCCCAACGTCCTCCTCCGCCCACTCCACCACACCACCACTCAAACAGGGTTTTGGGGTTCAGATGCACTACTGAGCTACGGGGAGAATCATCCATCTCCGTGGCTGGTGGGGTCCTGGGCCCTAATTTTAATATACAACCTAGACACTCACTTATAACACTCTCACGACACATGCATATATAGGATCTGGAGTGGGCACATGATCGCACTTAGGTGGTGGGATGTACTACCATTTCCACCTCCCCGGACCTGTGCCCACTCTCATATGTAGCATGTAGACATTTAGGGTTCTGTGCGGAGATGAGGGGTGAACGGGCGCCGCCTGCTCTCTGGGCAAGAGGTGGGTCTGTGCCGGTCGCCACCTCATCCCCCCATTTTAAACGCACTGTATAACAACATGCATCAACACCATATTCGAGTGGGAGGAGGAGGAAGTGGGTCTGTTCATAATTTATTTATGCATATATAGATTTATTTATTTATTTTATTTTATTATTATTATTTTTTTTTTTTTTCCCCTTTCACAAACACCTCCTTTCTCCGTGTGACACTAGGGGTCGGGGATGGAGGGGGGGGGGGCCGCATTGTTGGGGTCTGGGCTGCGGGTGGGCTTTGGGCCTTGGGGGCGGTCAGTGTTGGGGCCGGTGCTTCGGTTCCTCCTGGGCTGTTCCGATTCTTTTAATCTAGGTTCCTGGTTGCGATGGACGGCACTCTGACCGGGGTGGCTGCCGGCTTTTGGCGGGGGGTCGGCTATGGTAGTGTACGTGTGGTCATTGGTGGTGTAGGGCGGCGGTTGGGGGCGTGGCTTCGTCTCATCCGGGCACTGGCTGGTCTTCCTGTGTGGCATTTGCGGTGGGGGTGCTCTGTGTGTGGGGGGGTGCATGGGTGGCGTGCTGGGGCGTCTCCGGGCCTATGGTGCGGAGCTCTTGATGTGAGAGCCGGCCCTCCTCGGCTGCGGCTCCCTGCTGCTCTGCCCCTTGGGCTGGGGCCGGCCTGTGGTCGCTGTCAGGTAGATGGTGCATGCGGTCGGCCCGACAGAGATTCTGTCGGGCTATCTGTGTGTGCCTGTTGGTTGCTCGGGTTGGGTTTTTGGTGGTCCCCCCTCTCTTGGATCAATTTGGGCCCCACGTTTGGTGTGGGGTCCACTCCCCCCGGTCGTGCCCCCCTTTGGCGGGGGACTCCCTTGCCGCCGGTGCATTGGTGGCTCTCGGTGTCTGGGCTGGGTGGTGGGGTGCACGTCGGTCCGCCCTGGTTGCTGCCTGGCGGGGCCTGGGTGCCCTGGCTCTGTCGGGGCTCTGCTAGGGGGTGGTATGGCCTCGGGGCTTGGGGCTCGGTGTCCATGGCCGGATCTACTTGGGGGGGGCATGGGTCGCTGGCCGGGCCTGTGGGCTCGTCGTTGCAGCTTCCTGGAGGCTCTGCATTGTGGTGGCTGGGGTCACCCGGTTCTTTCCTCTGCTCCTCTCTGGGGGGGTGCGGTTCTCCCTGTTGGGAGACTCTTGGGGCTCCGGGCCTGTGGGCCGCTGTGTGTCTGTGGCTCCGGTCCTCCCTATGTTGCCATTGTGTCCTGGGGGGGCGGGTCTGTGGGCCCCCGCGTCCACTATTGGGCATTCTTTTGGAGAAATCCGGTGGTGGTGGGCGTGCTTGCGCGGGTGTTTGGATTCAGGTGCTTTGACAGATGCACGCTAGGTTGGGTAGTGGCGGAAGCTAGATGATTCATTGTGCGATGTCGAATGTTTCATGGTGATATTGTGGGTGGCATTGTGCTGTGCATGTTGTTTTGTCATGGTGGTCTCTCGTCTTATCTTCTTCTTTTTTTATTATTTATTTATTCTTCTTTCTTCTCTTTCTTTAAAAAAAAATAATAAAAAAAAATAAAAAAATAAAATAAAATAAAATAAAATAAAAAAAAAAAAAAAAAAAATTGAGCGATGATGATAAGTTCATTGAAACACTTCACAATGTTTCTACACTTAAACTGAGCTCACAAAAAAAAAAATAAATAAATAAAAAAAAAAAAAAAAAAAAAAAAAAAAAAAAACAAAAGAGAAGCGAACAACTTTTATTTGGTTGGTCTGGCCGGTCACCTAGGACCAATCTGCCTTTGGAGACCCTACCAGGGGCAACTGCCCCCAACATTAGAGCTCTTAGGATCATTGAGATATACAAAGTCCTTCACCAGGATCAGTTGGTGATTCATGGAAGAGGAATTGTCCTCTTCTTTCCCAGATGAACGCTGAAAGGAGCAACTTACCGACAACCTGAGTCAGAGTCGAAGCTTCCATGTCGAGCATGATGGTGCCCTTTTCTATGCATTTCCGCAGTTCAAACAGGCTGTGCAACGACAGCGTAGCCACGTGAGGTTTACTCCAACGTTCTCCTCCCTTTTCCACCTTTTCCTCAAACTTGATCCACCTGCGGGGATAGAAAAATAATGAAAGTGATGAAATCCACTTAACTGGAAGCTCTAATATCAACAGGCTGAGCTAGAAGCTGGTTATAAACCTGAAATAACTGTTTATGTCATCTTAAAAATACACAAATGATGTTTGAAAGTTATTTTTACAAATAGCTGAGTACAAGTAGATGTCCTATAGTTAGGGTGGGTTTGGGTTTCCTCAACTATCCCTTGGGCCGGCTGCTATAGGTTCGGACTGCTGGAGGACAAACTGAACACATCTCCTCACTCTGCCACTGTCTTTACTCGCTCCACTCATCATGTTTTTATTCGTACTTATTTCTATCATTAATGTGTTTTTCTTTGGTTTTCTTCCAAAATAAACAATACATAGAACATAGAGATTACTTCTGGACCATAGAGACTAAATCTTGACCATGGAAATTACAGCTTGAACAGAGAAGGTACACCTGGACCATAGAAACTATACCTAGACCAGAGAGACTACTCCTGGACCATAGAGACTACATCTTGACCATAGAAAATACATCTGGAACAGGAGCCACACTTGGACCATAGAAACTACACCTGGACAATAACAACTAGATATGGACCGTAGAAACTACAGCTGGACCATAGAAAATACATATGGACCATATCAACTAGATATGGACCGTAGAAACTACAGCTGGACCATAGAAACTACACCTGGACAATAGAAACTACACCTGGACCA